GGGTGAAGAGAGAAAGTGAGTTGTTTTAGTTTGTTGTTGATGTTGTTGTTCTTGTTGTTTTAATTTGGGGTCAGCTAGGTGGCATGGTGGGTAAGGCAGGTGAATCCTACATGGCCAGCTGTATGGTTTGATTTTCAGACCCAGATGCTTGAAAACATGCTAGGCATATGTGCATGCATGCCCAAAATCTCAGGAGGAGAGTGGAGGAGAAGGGAATGTGGCATGGTTATCCTTCCTGGAGAATGTTTTCTCACTTTCTCTTTTGTCCTCCTCCTGTCTCTCTCTCTCTCTCTCTCTCTCTCTCTTTAAGCACACATGCCCTAGAGCAAAACCAAAAATAAAGTTTTATTAACATATGATAATTGCACGTTTGTGGGGTTACAAAGTGATTTCCTGGCACATGAATACAATGTATAATGAAAAAATCAAGGCAATTAGTCTCAACCTCTCTTTACTCTGTGCTGGCAACATTCAGAATCTTATCTTTAGGTTCTTTGAGATATATATTGTTATTTTATTTTTATTTTTTTGGAGAGGCTTTTACTATAGGGCGCGTGCACTGGCCAGACAGAGAGAGACAGAGAGACAGAAAGTGAGAAATCACCCCCCAGAGGGAATGGCCACGCCACAATCCCTTCTCCTCCATTCTCCTCTTGGGATCTTGGGCATGCACGCACACGCGCCCGGTGTGAGTTTAAGCCACCGGGTCCAGGACTCGAACCGCGGTCGACTACATGGGAGTCCAGTGACATAGCCATTACGCTAACTGCTGGTCCTAAGATATATATTGTTATTAACTGTATTTACCCAACTGTATATTTTTTGGAGAGGTTTTTGCTAGAGGGTGCATGCGCTCACCAGAAAGAGACAGAGAGACAGAAAGTGAGAAATCACACCCTAGGGGGGATGGCCACACCACAATCCCTTCTCCTCCATTCTCCTCTTGGGATCATGGGCACACACGCCCAACGTGTTTTAAGCCACCAGGTCTGGGACTTGAACCACAGTTGACTACATGGGAGACCAGCCACACAGCCATTACACTAACTGCGTCCCAACACAACTGTATTTTGTAACACTAGTCAATGTTCCACTTACTTGTCACTTCATTTCCATTAATACAAATCCTTCTACTCTCTCCAACCCCCATTCCTTCCCAACCCGTGGAAGTCAAGAGATAGGTAATTTTGATAAGGTCTTCCTATTAATATATGTGTTTCTCTTACCCTAGCCTCCAAACTAGCGAGGATGACAGCTGGTTGCACAGTGGTGCCAGCATGTTCAGGTTGGCCTGGGAACTGAACCATGGCCTCCCATATGGCTTCGTCTCCCAAGCTGTGGCACTACTTGTGTTCCACTGTGGCTGGGCCTCAGATTTATGTTTTGAATTATGGTTCTATAAAATTTAATTATTCAGAGTTACTAGAATTACAATGTTACAAGCTTATAGTGTGAAATATCTAATATGCTAAAATACATCTATGCACATTTGTACAAACTTGTAACAATTTCTGGGTCTACCTAGTAGTTAGGGTGACTAACACTCACATAGCCAATTATGTAGTTCAAGTCCTAGACCTGGAAGTTTTAGAAATACATCAGGTATGTATGTGTGCATGCCCAAAATCCTGAGAGGAAGGCGGAAGAAAAGAGATTGTAGTATGGCTGTCTCCCCTGAAGGGTGATTTCTCACTTTTCTTCTCTGTCTCTCTGACTCTTTCTCTCGAGCAAGAGCATATGCCCTATGGTGAAAACTAAACAAATAAATGAACAAACAAAAAGAATGGCTTGTGCATAACAAGACACTTTTTGAATATTTAATAATTATATTCATGGACCAGCAAGTCCTGTGGTGGTTAAGATGCTGAATCCCACATGACCAATGGCACCGTTTGAATCACAGACCTGGCTGCTTGAGAAATACTTTGGACACCTGTGCGTATGTGCCCCAAATCCTGAGAATGGGGGAGAGGGGATTGTGGCAAGATCCTCCCCTTGGGGGGGGTGTTTTCTTATCACTGTCCTCTCTCTATCTTTCTGGCAAGCACACTTGCCCTATACTAAAAAAAAAAAAAAAAAGAAAAAAAAGGAAAGAAAAAAATACACTCATGAATAAACTCTATTATCATGTCTTTTAAACCTCAGGAGCAAAATCGTAGCCCTTAGAGGACTGTCTGAATGGAAAGTGCTAGAGTCATCATAGGATTTCTCAGGGCATATAACTCTGGCCACAGAAGCAAGCCTCCTTGAAGAGAATGTTCCTAGGAAGCACCCTTGGTTGTTTCCTGTATCCACAAACATGCTTAGAAATAAACCAGGCAAATTAAAAAGGTCAGAAGGCTGCAAGGAAAACTACTAGTTATTAAAAAAATGGGCTCAGTTTTTGCAAGGTCACTGAGTACAAAATCCTTTTTCTTAGGGTTCTTAGTAGGCTAAATTTTCTTGTGAGCTAATTAATTTTACCAGAGGGGCAAGAGTCTATTCAGTAAGTCCAAATCTAAGCCTGCCTCTACCTGACAAATGGCTCTCAAAGGTCGAATGTGCAGACTGAGCTTCTGTGAAACACACGAAAGTACAAACAGCCCACAAGAAGGACACTAAGGAGATGCCCTCTGCTTACAACCTGAATGTGTTCAGGTTTTCAGGTGGGTACTGGACATAGTAGCAGCTATACCTCTCGTTTCGCTGATTTTCCTCCTACCTACGTGCACGCCTAATTCTAGAATGATCTATTTCCTCTCCAATTATTTCTGGAGTCCCTGGGTGCTCCTCTCATGTGCTCATAAACAAAACTTGTCCTTCAAAAGATAATATACTTTTATATTCTCTCCTTCATTTTTTAATGCCAGAGGGTGCATGTGCACAACAGAGGCAGGTCATGCCGCTATCCCTTTTCCTCCATTCTTCCATCCTGTCAGGATTTTAGGCACACAAGCACACATACCCTGTGTGCTTCTCAATCCATCAGAGCCAGAACTTGAACTGTAGTTGTCCACATGGGATCTAGCTCCCAAAGCACAGTGCTTTAACCAGTGCTATAAAACTGGCCCAACAATTTACCTTAAATAAAAATATTTTTTCATTGAGGTGAAATTCACATAACCTAAAACTAACCATTTGAAAGTGAATACTTCAGTGGCATTTAGTACTTTCCTAGTATTGTGCAGCTACCATCTCCATCTGGTGCCAGAACATTTCCATCACTCTAACAAAACTCAATGCCCTTTCACTGACAGCTACTCATCTTCCTCCCTCTTGTCCCTGGCAACCAACTACCAAATTTCATTCCTCTAAGTTTACCCATTCTGGTTACTTCATGTAAAAAGACTCTTACATGTGGTCTTCAGGGTCTGCCTTCTCTTACTAAACTCGTTTTCAACATATGTCACTTTTGTAGCAGAATTCACTGAAGGACACTTTGTGCCACCATGAGCTCTGGGTGCCAGGAACATGTGGACAACACATGCACACAAACCATCTCTTGCTGGGTCACCACAGCTTCCACTGTCACACTGCTGGATACCTCCACTGATGCCACGGATGGCACTGAGGTTTTGTGGTTCTCATTTAGTATTTTCTGTGCCCTTCCAGCATGCTGCTTATTCATCAACTTCTTAGACTTTTCAAAGGAGGCAACCCTTTTGTTACCTTCTTTATACTTCTCTACACTGATTTTGAGATAGCAATGATGAGACTAATATGTTTCACTTAGAACTGCTCCCCCCCCTTTCAAAGGATACACTTTGTATAGAGCTAATGGTCCTACTCCCTAATTTTCTTAGGATGAGTAACTTTCTACTGAAATCTGTCATCTTCATGAATTATCAGCTGTCCATTTGCCAACTTATTCCCAGGTAACCCTGAAAACCTTTTGATTCAAGATAAGAGCTCCAGCTATATAGAGATAAAAATGTTTACAATGTAGTCTTTTGTTACTTTTAATTAAAAAATATTGCCAGGAACCAGCAGATGTCATAATGGTTGCATTGCTTGACTCCCACATAGTCGACCACAGTTTTGAGTCTTGGACCTGGTGACTTAAAACTCACACTGGGCGTGTGTGTATGCGTGTCCAAGAATGGAGAAGGAATTGTGGTGTGGCCATGTTCCCTTGGGGGGTGATTTCTCATTTTCTGTTTCTGTGTCTCTCTGGCAAGTGCATATACCCTATAGCAAAAATCTCTTAAAAAAAAAAAAATTACCAGAGGGGAATTTTCTCACTGGAAAGAAGGAAAAGTGAGAAAGTACCCTCCATGGGGAATGGAGGGTACACAACACAATCCCTTTCCCCTCAATTCTTTTGCCTTTCAGAATTTGGGCACACATGCACATGCACCCAACATGTTTCTCAAGCTGCCTAGTCCATGACTTGAACTGCAGCCAGCCATGTGGGTTCCAGGTACCTTAACCACCATGCCACAGGTTGGCCCTTCAATTAATAAGTTCATAAACGGATATATATTTGAGACAGCTATAGCTAATACATGACCATAGCTAATACATATGTATTTACTTGTTCAGGCATATTTATTGGTTGTGTTGACTTTAAAACATGTCCACAAACTTCACACTTTTCTCTACAAAAGGTGGAGTCTAATTTTCTTCTTCTTGTGTATGTGCTGGTGAGTTCCTGATTCCCTTTTATATTACTTGTTCTGAAAGAAGTCCAGCAAGCCACCACATCATGAGAATACTAAAGAAGCCTGGAAAGGTCTACACCAGGAAGAACTGAGGCTTCCTGCCTGGCAGCCCTGTGCATGACAGTCATGTGAATGAGCCACCTTAGAATCCAATCTTCTAGCCCCAGGTGAGTCTTTAGATGATGGAAACCCAACATACATATTTTAAAATTATTACTTGTTTTAATAACATAAATTTAAAAAATTATTATTTATTTTAATTTGATGTGAGAGAGAGAGAGAAAGCAAGCCTCCAGGTTTGGGACTTGAACTGTAGTTGGGCATGTGGGAGTGTCCAGTGCCTTAGCCACCACACGACCTGCTGGTCCTTAACATAAAATTTTTACAATGTGATTTTCAGTAGAGAAATACAATGTGTAATGATTAAATCATTTAATCATTAATGCTAATGATTAACTAGTATACCCCTCATCTTAATCATTTGTTATATACAGGTGTTAAGCACGTTCCCCCACTGTATTGTAATACTAGACATTGCTCCTTCTATTTGCACGTTTGTTCCTGTTTACAACCCTCTACTTCACCTTGTCAAATCTTTTCCAGTCATCTCTGTACTTCTATGAGGTAATTCCCCCCACCATTTCCATATGTGGAGAACATATGGTACTCTCACATCTGTGACTGGCTTATTTCATTTAACATACTGTCCTCCAGGCTCACCCTAGCCTCAAATGACTAGATTTCATCTTCTTTAATGGCTGCACAGTATTCCACTGTGTATAGTATAGATACCACATTCTCTTCATCTATTTGCTTACTGATGCGCATTTACGTTGCCTCTGTATATTGGCTATTACAAAGAGTTTAGCCAACATCTTAACTACAACTTCATGAAGAGGACCACCTCATGAGCCAGAACCACCAACCTAAGCCCTGAATTCCTGACATATGCATTGTAGAACAATTTTTAAGCTGTTAAGTTTCAGGGTAATTTGTTACATTGGAACATACAACTTTTTTTTTTTTTTTTTTAAAGGTTTCGCCATGCACTAGTAAAGAGACAGTGAAAGCAAAAGGGAGAAATCACCCCCTGGGAGTCAGCTATGCCATAACCCCTTCTTTCATGCTCTTCCTGAAATCTTGAGCATGCATGCACATGTGCCTGGCATGATTTTCAAGCTACCAGGTCCAGGACTCGAACTATGGATGGTCATTTGAGAGTCTAATATCTTAACCACTACACCACCAGCTGGCCCACTTGCTTCTTATTGAGCTATATAGAGCAGAAACAGAATTTTTTTTTTTAACCTTTTCCTCTATAAATGTGTTTGCTCTATTTGTCCTTTGTTATCCCAGGATGAATAGTAGGCATGTTTGTTTTTCTAGATAGTATGATAACAAAAAGTCCATTTTAGCCTAAAAATGTTACTCTCACTCAATTTAAGCTTCACCCCTCTGCCAGCTTAGGCCTATTTCAGGCCTAATAGCCAGCTGCTTGAAGGGAAAGTTGGCTCACTTCTTTATTTTCCACCTTGCTCTATTACTTTGCTTCCATTCACTAGGCTGTATCTGTTGCTTCCATGGCTAGGGCATGGAGGAGGCTGGGTAAGAACAGAGGTTGTTGACTGGTTTGGCTGTATTGGCATTTGTGCCTTCTGTGAATGGGACAGTGGTATAATGGAATTTGCATGTACTGACTCTCAAGACCTGATTATTACTAGGAATTGTGTGAGATAGTTGTTAAAGCCAACTACCGTTAAAAAATAAGTTATATATGAACTTGAAATTAAATAAATGTATTAAACACAAAAGTATTACTTGTTACCTATTTAACTTCACTACTGTTTATGGTCTGAGTCTGCTGTACCTGCAGTGAAAATACCCCATAATGACATCTGACTGTGAATCTGTTTTCATCTTCACATTCAGTGGCATCACACTGATAGCTTGAAGGCAGCAACGGATCGGAGTTAGGAACCATGAAGTCATACTGCAGAATTCAGAAACACTACAGATCTGGGCTTTTTTTCTGGCAATCTGGTTGTTAAAATTTTTTTCCAGGACACCAAATGCTGAAGCCAAATGATGATGTACATTCCAATGGAAAGCTTCTGCTGGAAAATATGGTATACTCCAAATACAAACCTTTGTCATCATGGAGTGCTTCTGCTGAGAAATGTTTCCTGTAGTTCTCTTGACATGCATCCTGTCCTGTACATTTTCTGAGTAGTTCTGTTAAGGGCACCAGATCCCTCTTGGTAGGTCCAGTGTACAGAATCCCTAAGAAACTCAATATGGCTCACTCCTATGGGATTTACTTCTGGCCCATAAGTACGTCATCTGAAGTACAGGCCTTTCCATCATGGTCTCCTTTCATTATCCTGGTATCAGAGTGGGCTCTAAGCATATTCTCTCTTCCCAGGACTCCAGCACCAGATTTTGTGTTCTTTAAATTCAAGAGACTATATGCCAAGGTCTTTGAATGTACTCTTGAAGTACCCACATCCTTCCATGCTTGACTTGGAGTAGGGAAGAAGCACAACTCCCAAATCCCTATAGGATACAGATGAGAATATTTAGATCTCATGACAGTTTTCTTCAAATAAATCCATACTTTCCCATCTTTTCAATCCCCCTCATAGATTCTTAGTTCCCAAAATAAAGCCTGGAAATGAGTGTGTGTTGATGGTAAAACTGTTAGGACTCTCCCTTTAAAAGTTCCACATGGATTGTCTGACATCTCTCCTTAGATAATAATCACATTTGCTATCTATTGTTTGTTCTGCATTTTGGGAACCTCTGCTCAAAGCAGGAGACAAAAGGAAGAATCAGTTAACAACCTATTACACATAGCATGGTCTCAGTGAATCTTCCAAATTTTCTCTTAGGGCCTGAGGCAATCTAGGCTGTACATGGGCCACAGGGGCTGGGGTTAGTGTTCCAGAAACTACCCGGCTCAGTCTGGGTTGGTTGTTCACTTAATGATCAGAAACATATGGGAGCTCAGGTGTTGGTGCAACTAAAACAAAGGGCCAGGGTTGTACTGTGTAACTGGCATCAGAGCAGAGTACAAGCCAAAGGAGATACGTGAACAAGTTAGAAACTGATGCATTCAAGATCAGGCAGGGGCATGGGTGTTGCTGTCAATGAGCTCATTGCCAAGCTCTAGTCTGCTGGAATAGGCTACTCAGCTGGCATGGGATTTGGTCAGCTGAATGAAGACACAGAGTGGGCAAGGACATGGCCTTTTAAATAACTAAGGAGCCAATCAGATGAGCCTTTTATTTTCTTTCCCAATTCTCTATCAATTATGACTTTAACAGAGAGAGAGAGAAAGGACTCGATGCCACAATCCTCCAGCCTCCATAGGTTTTTGCCATAGGGCGGGTGGCACCACACATACCCCCCACCCCCCATTATGACTTTAACAGAAAGATATATTGGGTAATAGGAAAAGTCATGACACATTTTTGCATAGAAAAACAAAAAAATACGTCATGACTTTTCTGACCACTCAATTCAAGTAACACTTAAGTGAGATCATTTTCAAAACAAATCATCAATTTTGTGTCTAGCATGGTATGGAGTGCTAAGAGGATACTAGGGAAATTCATTTAGATTCAGTATCTTTTGGTTTAGCAAGTTCCTTCTCTAATTAGACAATTGATTTTATCTATAGCATGATTTCACTGAGATAGGCCCTGTAAGTCTTACAATACTCTACAAAACAACCACAGTAGTAGATATCAAGTGAATACTCAATAATTTACTAAAAGTGTTTCTCTCTTACTTAAAAGCCCTTAGATTCCATCACTTATGAATTAAGTCCAGAATGATTTTCTTGTATAGTTCCCAGGCTTTAATTTCCCCAGAACTCACCTAACTTGTCTTTATTTCTCATTGCTTATGTACATATAGTGCTCTGTCAAACCAGTTTTGTCTCTGGACACACCTTTTTCTCTGGATCACACATTTCACTCATTTAAAAAAAAATCTTTTCCTCCACCCTTATTAAAATCCTACCCATGATTAAAATAAAGCTCAGATTCTATCCCTTTTCTAAAGTCTTCTCTTTATATGATCTTTACCTGAAAAGATCATGCTCTCAGAATTGTGGTCTCTGCCTCCAAGGTAAGGCAATGAGAGGGCATCAATCTAGTATTACCTAGGGATGCCTACACTATGGATGTTTGCAATTTTACTCACATCTCTGCTATCTTGTTCTTCAACTTATCTGGACACCTGGGAAATCCAGAAACGGATTATATACAATAATCCTTAAAACTTTAGATATCTCAGAACATCCCAATGTTATGGCTTCCACATAGTGATGATAGTACACTACTGACCCCTAATTAATACAGTAAGATTCAAATGTAAAAGTCTTTTATATACTACACGCACACACAACCTATATATACTGTCTTATATATAAAGTATGTATGTATATACAGTATATGATTTTTATATACTTTTATATACTATATATACAGACATACATATATGTATGTGTATGTATATGTATATATATGTAAAAACTGTGGGGACCAGGATGTAGTGTGGTGGCTAGGGTGCTGAATTCCACATGGCTGATTCTATGGTTTGAGTCTTGGACCCAGTGGCTTGGGGAAAAATAAAAAAATAAGTGCTCACATATGTGTGCCCCAAATCCTGTGAGAATGGAGAAGGGGTTGCAGCATGGCCACTCTATGGGGGTGGTTTACCATTTTTCTTGTCTCTGTATCTCTGTCTCCCCAGTGAGAACATGCACCCTTAAAAAAAATTGTGAAACTCCATCTTTTTAATCACATCTTAAGAGGCAAATCGAATCAACAAATATCAAGCCATGGCCATGTGCCCAACATTCTGGTAGGCACTGCAGAGAATATGATATAGACTCTTGTGTGAGACTGAATACACAAAAGAACAATGGCCAGAATGTATTTGAGTGTAAAGTGAACCATGATCCAGAATTTATGCAGCAACCAGTCCAGAAAGGTACCTATAATCTCTGCAGCAATCAACCCTAAATGGCCAGGACTTGATCAGTAATTATCAATTTAGTTTTTTCCTCAAGTTGCCCTAAGTTTTTCCAACTTAGGACCAACTAGAGAAATTTCTAAATCTGTACTCCTAACCAACCACACAGAATGCCTTTTTAGTCAACCTGCCCCCAGCTTCCCTATGCTGGCACATTCAGGTTTGGAGGACATACCAGAAGTCTTTTCTTTTTTATATTGCCCTGCCTGACATTAAGATACTGCCTATATCAAGTGATACAGCTAACTGACATTGCAAGCTTTGACTAAGTACACTTTTCTTGTTCTCATTTGGGTGTTCTTCACCTACACTTAGGACTTACAGAATTACTACAGGTAGTCTCAATAATTAACTTAAGAAACCCCCAAATTACGTAACATACTCATTTGTAATTAAAAATTTTTTTTTTGTCAGAGGGCATGTGAGCTTACCCAAAGGGTGGGGTGGGGGAGCAGGAGGAGAGCACTCCAGTAGGGAATAGTCACACCCAACTCCTTCTCCATTTCTCCATCTTGTTTGGATTACGAGCAGGCACACTCATGTTCCTGGTAAGTTTTTCAAGTCACAGGGCTGGGATTCCAACCTGAAAGAATGACTGACTGAAAAGGAAATTAGTGGGGGCTAATAGGATGGCATGGTGGTTAAGGCATTGGACTCCCACATGGCCAACCATGGTTCAAGTCCTGGACCTGTGGCTTGAAAATCACACAGGCACATGTGTGTGTATGTCTAAAATTCCAAGAGTAGAATGGAAGAGAAGGGATTGTGGTGTGGCCATCCTCCTGGGGGGTTGATTTCTCACTTTCCCTCTTTCTGTCTCTTTCTGGTGAGTGCTTATGTCCTATGGCAAAAACCTAAAAAAGAGAATAAAAAACGAAAAGGAAGTTAATAAAAACAAGAGATCTAGCCTGTGAGAGTAGGAAAATTGTGTTACCAATGGACAGAAATGAAGACCTGAAAAAGGAATTAGGTATTAGGAAACAGTTAAGAGATAGCAAAAAGTTCAAATTCATACAAGTAAAGTAATTGCCAACTCTGTGCTAGGTACTGTTCAAGATGCAGAAAATAGAAAACAAAAAAGACAAAAATCTTTGCTCTCATGGAACTTATATTTGAAAATGTGCAGCTGGTATCTGATGTGGTAAGAAAAGTTAAAGATGCCCTTTCTAAGATTTAACCACATAGAGATAAAAATTGAAATGATCAGAATAGCAGTTTTCCAAGAAAGATATTGAAGTTACTGAGGATCTAGCCGAAGGACATCTATATGTGGGGATAAAAGAAATAAATGTCTGAGATGATCAGGATGGTGTCACAGCACAGAAACCACACCAAGGTCTATCTTTGCAGAGTAGTCCAATTGGAATTTCTCTTAGAGATCTCAGGGATAAAGTGTTAATGTAAGAAGTAACTAGGTTTTGAGGTTACCTAAAGATAGTTTGCCTAAAATTGCTTTATTTATCACAAGAATATTCTAGCATTGGGACCAGCAGTTAGCGTAATGGCCCTATCACTGGACTCCCATGTAGTCGATCGCGGTTTGAGTCCCAGACCCGGTGGCTTAAACTCATGGCGGGCGCGCGCGCGCGTGTGTGTGTGTGTGTGTGTGTGTGTGTGCCCAAGATCCCAAGAGGAGATTGGAGAAGGGATTGCGGTGTGGCCATCCTCCCTGGGGGGTGATTTCTTGCTTTCTGTTCTCTCTGTCTCTCTCTGTCTGGCAAGCACACGCACCCTATAGCAAAAACCTCTCAAAAAAAAAAAGAATAGCATTGTCCTTTAATGGATGCTCCAGAAATAGGTCATAATAATGGTGTGGTAACTTACATTTATAAAGTACTATCACTTGTATTATTTTAATGAATAAATCCCTATCTATTGAGAAATTGGGGCACAGAGAATCGAATAATCCTCAAGATTATATAACGAACTGTGGCCAGATTAATAAATAGAACCCAACTGTCCTGATTTATATTCGCAGCTATTTGTAGTGCCATTATTTTTTCAGACTAAATATCATATATATAGCATAAAACATTCTTAAGCATATTATAAGCATGACACCCTAAAGAGTACTAATGAAAGAATATTAATGAAAGAATAAATCAATGCTGAAGTCATCTGATTAATATTTGCAATAAAATTTCCCCTAAATAGTACAAGCCACCCAGGCCAAGACTGAAACTCAGTGGGCCATTAACTGCTGAGTTGTGGGGCTGGTCCAAATGGTTAGGGTTTTTCTACTTTGCACGACAGATTTCTGAGTGATTTATTAAAGTGCTTGATGCTAATAGTTTCTTAGAAACGGATTAGATCAACGTGAAAAATGCTCACTGATAATGTTTTGTTAGTGATTAGAACAAATATTAGGTTTCAGTGAAATAGGAGACTTCAAAGCTACATCCTTTCTATAGAAATAACGGCACTTATAATTTCTCAGCTCCATTTGACCAAAATGTTAAAAATGTACTAACAGACAATTCTAAATTACAGAACTCTTTAGCATTGTTTTTGTTTTCTAAATACGAAATTAGGCTATCTTAGACAGCCTTCTTTCTCATGAGATAATCAAGATACTTAAAAAAACCCTAAGTTTAATAATTGCTAACATTTGTGAAGTTTTTACTTTGTGTCATTAGTTTAAGTTCTTCCCATTTGTAAACTCACGTAATCCTGGCAAACACAAAAATACAGATGAGGCAGGTAAGCATTAGCCACATTGACTGATTGACTGACGGGGACCCTGAGGGCCAGGAAAGCAAAGCAGCTTCCCCAAGACAGTTTGTAAAACCAAGAACTAGGATCGTTTACAAAAGCACTCCCAAACCACTCCGCTTTTCGATCCTTCCCTTAGAGAAAGGGATACCAAAAGTTTCGAGTCCGAACTTTGCAAAAAACGGAGCGCTGGCTTAGTTCTAAGGCGGGGCCATCTGGAGTCTAAGCTACCTCCGGCTTTCTTCTCCCTGCCCCAGCCACCCACGCACGCTTCCCTCTGCTCCCTCCACCTCTCCCTACCTCCCTTCCTCCTATCTCCGCTCCGCTGCCGCGTCACCCGGGTGTCTTCTCTGGGTGCCCGGCGCTTAGTAGTAATAGGGGTGGGCTGGCCGGCCGGGGGCGGGGCCGGGACCAGGGCCGAACTTCGGGCCTCGGCGGCCATAGCTGCCAGCGCTGCCCCTTTCCCTCGTTCTCTCTCCGCCCTGGGCCGAGCGGAGTTAGGTGGAGTTGACGGCTGGCCCTGAGAGGCACCACGGCTTCAGGGGCTCGGCCTCCAGCGCGGCACAATGTTGGACGCCGCGACGGTCCTGTGAGTCCGAGGCCGCGGCCGCGGCGCTGGGCGGCTGCGGGACCGAGCAGGGTCCTCTGATGGTGCCGCCACGACGCCATCGCGGGGCAGGAAGGCCAGGTAGGCAGGCAGGGAAGGGCCCCGAAATCACCTGGAGCACACACCCAGACCGAGTGTCCACGAACAGCTCCACCTCCAGCCTGGTGGCGGCTGAAGCGCCTGGAACGAGTCCGGGTCGGTCTCGGGGGCGGAGTGTGCGCAAGGCTGGCTGTCAGGGGCGTCAGAGCTCAGTCCAGACTGGCAATTGAGGAAGCTGCTTGTGCGCCCTAGCCAGCGTTTTATTTGGTGTCACTGGTGTCTTTTTTTTTTTTTTCCCCAAAATGAGGAGGCTTTCTTTTAACAGCTGTTTCCTCGCTCTCCTTGTGAATTACTATTTAGATCTAAAATAACTATACTAGACAGAGTGACAGGGATGGGTGGGGGCCATAAGGATCCTTTTCCTTTACCACGTGAGGTGATTGGAAATGTGCCCTCCACACCCACATCGGATCACTTTCTCTCGAATAACCAATTTCCACTCGAGGAAATTGGGGATGAAAAAGACACTTTCAGGAACACGTCTAGACACTGTCTCCGGAGTGGATTCCTTAGGAGGGAGAGGGGAATAGAGTTTTGTATTTATTAAACTCAGAGAAGATATTTTCTCATTAGCTCTTTATAAATATACCGTATATTGAGTACAGCTCTCCCCTTCCGTATTGTGTACCCCTTTAGTGTATTCTGAAGTGTACAGTGAATAACATGAAAAGTCTAGAACAAAGTGTCAGTTATATTTAATGCATGTTGTTTTCTTCCATTGGCTTTCAGTTTGAAGGTGAAGAGTAAAAAATGATGAATCTTGAGTTGACATTTCATAAGCGATCATTTTCTGACTGATTATAGGTACGCTGAATTCTTCACCTCCTTTTAGACTGAGATCTGCTAAATTTTTGGGCGTTTTTCTTGAAGACCTCAGAAAGGCCCTTAAAACAAGGTATATTACAGTTTTTGTATATTATGATTTCATACTGAACATTAGCTAATGAATGTCAGATGTTTATGTTATTTTTCTCATTTTTATATGTTTCTCTTAAAATCATCTCTAATGAGATTTGTATTTTCTAAAAAACAGACTGCAAATGGTGTTTGTATTTATCATGAACCGGATGAATTCCCAGAACAGCGGTTTCACTCAGCGCAGACGAATGGCTCTTGGGATTGTTATTCTCCTACTTGTTGATGTGATATGGGTTGCTTCCTCAGAGCTCACTTCGGTAGGTACTTTCTAGCCCAGGAATGACCTGACATGATAGTAGTATTACTGTTAACCTGTAGTTTCTCTAGCCATTATCATCTCATGCAGTATCTTACCTAACAGCAGTACTTTAAATGCTATTGAATTACTTTTGTTTTCTTTGATATTGAATTAGTACCCATTCAAGTTAAAACTGAAAGGATACTCTTTTTTTTGAGTCGCAGTTTACTTGTATTTTCTAGGGAGGGTTACTTAGAGAGATTATTAATATTTGGAGGTATTTCTCTTTTCTTTTTCTAAATTTATTTTATTTATTTATTTATTTATTTTTTGAAGAGAATTTTGCTATAGGGCGTGTGTGCTCTTTGGAGAGACAGAGAAAGACAGAAAGCGAGAAATCATCCCCCGCCCCACCCCAGGGGATGGCCACTCCACAATCCCGTCGTCTTCAGTCTCCTCTTGAAATTTCAGGCAGGCCTACATACACATCTGACTTGAGTTTCAAGCCACCAGGTCTAGGACTCTAACAATTGTCAACCATGTGGGAGTCCAGTGCCTTAATCACTACACCACCTGCTGACCCCTGTGTATTATTTTCTAATGAAACAACCATTTAGGATACAAAACAGTCTGACACCATTTAGTAGAAAATATGACTGTTTTCAGACTTGAGAAAAAGTGGTGAGTTTCCACATACAGGTTGCTTTTGCATATAGACATGGGTACATCCATATTTATGTTTCTTGACTCAAACATTATATAATACTTGGTGTACAATGATTGCCTTCAGTTAAATTTTATCTTTATTGATCATTTTTGGTAATAATATGCTATTTGAGTTCACAAGCTAGGTTTTCTTTCTCCTTGTATACTTTATTATGTTTGGTTTACGAGCCCTATGAAAAGACAGCAACTTTTATTTTAAGAAATGACTGCATTTCAGCTTACATGCTTCAGTCTTGAGGCATTTCCGAAGGAAACTTGTATTTATAAAATGCATTTAAATGTCAAAAGAAATTTAATACTGCAGATCTTTTTACTCCTAGCTAAGTAAATGTAATAGTTGACACCTACATTGTATATGATGAATAAACAAATTTTACCCTTTTGGAACTGGACTCTGGAATAGATCATTTGATTTTCACTTTAAAATATTTCTGTGGGCCAGCCAGTGGCATGGTAGTTAAGGCTCTGAGCTTAACATGATCAGTTGTGTGGTTCAAGTCTGGGACTCAGTGACTTGAAAACATGCCTGGTGTGTGTGCATGCATGCTCAAAATCTGGAAAAGAGGGAGAAATAGAGAAGGGATGGCAGCATGACCACACCCCTTGGGGGGTGCTTTCTCACTTTCCCTCTCTCTTTTCCACACCCCCCCATATGCCCTCTGGCAAAAAAAAATGCAAAATGCTGTTCTGCAGTCTTTTAGGTTAACATTCTATAGTCCAGACTCATCTTGTAGAGTCGCACCCTGTATCTGGATTTGGTCATTTCTTCTAGGAGTCAAGCTTTGTTTTTATGCATAATTGTGTAGACCATCATCCAGATCCTGTAGTTCTTAGGATAGTAACTAGGATATTTTTTAGGAGTGAAAACGTAAGTTTATACTGATATTTTTCAGTTTAAATGAAGATTGGATGTTTTTGCATAAAATTAAACTTCACCTTAATTTTTTTCATATGCCATTGTTTCATTGCCTTTCTTTAGGTTTTTGCTTCTGCTTGGACTTAATTTTCAGTCCTTCAGACACGTCAAGAATAGCTTCTCTTGGGAAACTTCTATAGACTTCAAATTGGTCTATCTTCTTTTGGTGTTCCCATGGCACCTAAAACCTCTGTCATGGTACTTTGCACATTTTGCTGTGTTGCTATCATATATATGTCTCTTCTGTTCTGTTGTAAGCTCCTCAAGGGTGGGATAACCTGTCTTCATTTTCTGTAGCCCCTAGCACAGGTGTTGTTGAATAATAGGTTTTCAGTGGCTGTTGAACAGAACTTTTTTGAAGGTTGTTGCTACTTTGTTTGGCAATATTATCCTTCATGTGCAAGGCATGTACAGTGTTCAGAAGTGAGTCTAAAATATTTTTATAATGCTCTTTAACCTTTTCCTTCCCAATGAACTTCTGAAGAGTTAAAAATCATGTCATGACTTCATTTTATTGGAGATAAATAATAAGGTTTAAAGTTATTTCATAGTTGTCTATGTAATTTTTTCCTCTACAGTATGTTTTTACACAATACAACAAACCATTCTTCAGCACCTTTGCAAAAACATCTATGTTTGTTCTCTACCTTTTGGGCTTTATTATTTGGAAGCCATGGAGGCAACAGTGTACAAGAGGATTTCGAGGAAAGCATGCTGCTTTTGTAAGTTTTTAATTTGTGGGGTATGTGGGGTATATTTTTAAATTTTAAAGATGTATTAGTTTCTTTAAGGTCAGTCAAATTTTATGTCATACAGTTAAGTAGAGGTAGCATTATATAAGAAAAACTTGCTTGTGTCTGGGACCAGTGGGTAGCATGCAGGTTCTGGTGACTGGATCCCACATGGCTGATGTATGGTTGAATCCTGGACCCAGCAATTTGAAAATCAATCTAGCTTCATGTGTGTGTGTTCTCAAAATTCCAAGAGGAGGATGGAGAAGGAATTGTGTGGCCAAGCCCCCAAGGGGTGATTTCTCATTTTCCCTCTGTCTCTGTCTCACTCTGTCTCTCTATGGTGAGTGCACATAGCCTATTGCAAACTTGAAATAAAAGTAAAATATAAAAAAACCTGGTTTGTCCAAAATTTTTAGTTTATTCTTTAATCAACTTGGTGTCAGAGTATCTTATGAGAAATCCGAAGTGCATAATCACTTTCAGTCCTTTACCCCATCACTTTTTTCTTTTGATATAAATAAATATAAATAAATATTTTGTACTTATCTATAGTCATTTACTTAGAGTAAATTCCTAAAAGCATAATGCTGGATAAAAGAATACTATCATTTTTAAAGGTTTTGATTGTTTAAAAAACATTTTTTTAATTGCTAGATGGCGTGTATGTTAGCCAGAGAGAGCCAGAGAAAGAGTAGGAGGAGAAAGCTCCCTGAATAGGGCATGGCCACTCTATAATCCCTTCCCCACTTTCCATCCTATTAGAACTTTGGGCACATACTCATACACACTCAGTGTGTAGTCAGCCATGTGGGATCTGGCTCCTGTAACTACTAGGCTATCGGGTATCAGCCCATATGCTTTTGATTCTTATTGCTAAATTGCTGTCTATAGGGGTTGCATCAATTCATATCCATTAGAGTGTATGAGATTTACCTATAACTGAAACGTCAATATTTGCCAATTTGATAGATGAACAGTGATATTTTTTTAAAATTAATTAATTTTTAGAGAGAGATTTTTGCTATAGTGTGTGTGTGCTCACCAGAGAGACAGAGACAGGCAGAGAGACAGAAAGTGAGAAATCACTTCCTAAGGATTGGCCATGCCGCAGTCCCTTCTCCTCCATTCTCTGGGGATT